TTTTGTAGCATTAAGTTTAACGATTATATATATATATATATATATATATATACGTATAAAATTTGTGTGTGTGTGTGTAGGTTAATAGGGATTTCGCCTAGGGCGTCAAATTGGCTAGAAACGGCCCTGTCGAGGTTGATATAAGATTTAGAAAGTAATAAGTCATGAAACACTTTTTAGATACAGCGATTAGTAAAGTAGTCTAATTACACTGTTGAAGATGTAATTAGTAGCTATTAATTAATTAATTATGTTTTTAGACTAACTTACCCAACACTGGTCACAACCCTCTCCATCTTGTCAAACATATTTCTAGTTTTATTTTTGTATTTATTATAACATGTAGATGTCGTGTGGATGTAATATATCAGATTTAACAAGAAAACCTGCTGATGATCACAAATCAAAATGCAAGACGTCATGTTACTTTAACTGATGCTACAAGTCTAAGTCTATAAAGGAAATGTGTAACTTGTACATGCTTCATCCTGCACTGCACTTAGAAGGCCAGAGCTGTTCGAATGCTGTAGTTGTTTCCATAATTTAAACATAGCCAACAGGCCGTGCCATTATGAAGGTTTGTGTCTGGTTCCACAGTATGACACTGAACTCAGGCACCGGTCCAATTGTGCATTTCTTTCTGAGAAAATGAATAGGCGTAATAAAAAACAGAAAACAATATCACGTCGAATCAATTTGCTTCTTTCATTCCACACACTATTCCCTTTCTCTCATCTTTTGGGGAGGTGATGTGTTGGTGGGGTAAATTATGGCAATTCTCATGGTGAGGCGCAAATAAACTCAGAGCGGCAGAAGTAACTGTTCTCTACTGAAGCGTGCAGCTGTGCCGAGACTCCCGCTGGCAGGCCGTTTAGGTGCTGTGCTCAAGTCGAGAAAGACTAATGCTGGAAAATATCTCGACCCAGTCTGCGGAAATTGATCTGCTCCTCAGGGAAAAAATGACTGATTTTAATTTTGTCACGCCTCTCTCTCTCTCCTTTCTTAAAGTAAGCTGCATTCTTCCACAGGCAATAGAGTGACAAAAATGCCTCATGATAGGTGCACAGATGAGCAAGAGTATTTTCTACAATATAGCCTTGATGTTCTCCTCCCGGACAAACTACCATGTTGATGGACTTGAAATCAGTCCCCCACACATTCCTTTCAGTGCAATTCACAATCACAGGATGCAAGGCAGTCCATAAATCCTGGAAATTCAGGATAGATGGTAGAGCTACTGTGTATGGATTTTTGGAGGCACCCCAAACCGAGCCTGATGCATGAGCAAGTGTATGATAAATGTGCTTCCAAATGCTGCATCCTGATCCCTCTCACCTCATGCTGCAGTTCCATTTACCGCTGAATAGATTTGCCGAGACACCCACTGTCCCATTTTAAAATGAAGAGCAACTGGCCTTGTTAAGGGAGTCTCTCCAGTGGCTGTAATGTTATGCAAATGGTTTAATATGAAGATAAAGACAGTAGTGGCATGCTACGCTCTACCAGTTCAAGCCCCGGGGGATCCTCAGAGCCTTCACTAATGAGAGAGGGATTATTCTGGAGTCATTAAATGGTGCCCTCCCTGACATTTCTCCCCTCCTCCCCTGGTTATGCCCATTAATGCACTGTACACAGACTTTAGAGATACCTTTTACCACCGGCTCCTGTTTTTTTACACATCAGAATGTCACTGAATAGCAAATTACATTCTCTTCCCACAGAGAAAATTGCTTTTGAATTGCTTAGTTATAAGAAATTTTTTTTTTTTAGGAAGGAGGGGGTGAAAACATGCGAAAACATAATTACTTGTGTTGAAAATCTCATTGGCAGTTGTTGCTGCTGGTTGCTCAGGAAATTTATTTAAGGAATTATGCGGAAATGCATCTGTGTGCGTTTATGTTTGGACATGCACAAGAACATGCACAAAAACTGCACTTTTATTGACGACTACTACTAGTGCATTAAGTATAATATAACTGACACAATATCGCACAAGCTAGACGAGCTAGCTATAATGGTTCAGATTTGGCGAGATAGCTTAGCACTAATTTCAAAGAACAGCAGGGATTCAGGTAATATCTGATGGATTCACAATTGCTGATACTGAACAACACCTGCCACACTCTTAGAAATAAAGTTACTTTATTGGCATTGATGTTTTCATGAAGAACCTCTAACTTCCATAGAACCTTTGCATGGAACAAAATGTTCTTTAAAGTGGAAAAAGGTTCTTCAGATTAAAATGTTCTTCACACAGAAAAAGGTTCTTTAAAGATGGGTTTACTGAAAGGTTCTTTGGGGAACCAAAAATCGTTCTTCTATGGCATCGCAGCAAAAAAGGTTCTTTGAAGTAGATATATGTTCTTTAGATTATTAAAATGTTCATCTCAGAAAGAAAACTGGTTCTTTTAGGAACTGTTCACTGAAAGGTTCTTTGAGGAACCAAAAATGATTCATCTACACTCTTAAAAATAAAGGTTATAAAAGAGCCTTAGAACCAATTTTGGTTCCCCAGAGAACCTTTCGTTTCTTAAAATAACCATTTTTTCATAGTGTGGGGATCATTTGAATAGTCTGAAGAACCTTTTTCCACTTTAAAGAACCTTTTTTGCATCAGATGTGTTCTATGGATCTCAAAGGTTTTTCTTTGAACCATCAATACCTACAAAACCCTTTTGGAACCTTTATTTTTAAGAGTGACATGTTGCATCAAACTCATTCTAAGCTCAAGGAGGAAATTTGGTTTGAGTTTTGTGAGTGAAAGAGAGAAAAACAAAGAATTGATAAGTGAATGGCAGACAAAATAGTGGATGACCCATGGATGTCTACTGTAGCTTTTTGACTCTGTTAAATTCCTGTTGTTGCAAACAAGAATGAGACCGCAATGACCCTGAGGGACAGACCGAATTTATTGTTACAACTTCCTAACCACAGGGACTCCAAACACCAAGAAATGGAGGAGTAAGAAATCCAGTATAGATTGCATGGCTTCACTCTGCTCCCCATCATGCAGTTCAGAGCTGCAACCCGGGATCAAAACGTTTTTGTCTCTTCCACTAAATTGGTCTGGAGGGCTTGGAGAGCAGTCAGCTTCTACTAATGATGCCCTCCGATACATTCACATAAAATTCTTGGTCTTTTCACACACATTGCAGCCCATCGCAAACACACAAACAAAGCAAAATATCCCCTTTTATCACTGTCAGCCACCCCTGACCACTTCCAATCTGCCAGCAACAGGGAAGCAAAACAAACATAACTATGGGAGCTAGAGTCCTGAAGGAGAAAAAGGAAGAGGGGAATAGAATAACTGGCCTCGTGTGGAGGCAGAGACTGGAGACAGGGATGGAGCTGGACTGAGCCAGAGGAGAGCTGTCACAGCAGCCATTACCATCACAGCTGAACTCCAGAGAAGCCATCTCAGCACCACGCAGGAAGCTAATTTCATTTGAGATGAAGTCTCTGATGAACTGCTGGGGATTATCCCCTATATAAGTATCCACAGACCTCGTTAACAATACCCCAAGACATCATGTTTGGTGCTTTATCAACATCTCCTGGGTCTGGCTGAATTAATCATATAGGCAAGCAAATTTTAGGCAAAGTTTAGGCCTACAGTGCAACACCAATTTAGGGTTTTTCCAATTTTCTTTTGATGCCTTCCATCTCCACTAGATGTCAGTAGAACCAATACAACACAGTGGTTATGTACAACCACTGGCCATTTGATCGAGATGGTCCTCACTGCAGAACACAAGATCCAGGGGGCGAGGTTGGATCCAGATCC